AGAAGAATCAACAAGATGTGAAGTCACAAAAGGCAAAGAAACTAGGAGCTGAAATGACAAGAAGAGTAGTTAGATTTAGCCGGGCTCCTATACAGTGTGCTAGTCTTAAGTAAGAGTGCTAGCAAAATCCAGAAAATGATCAATATTTATTGCAGGGGAGAGTGTTGTCCAGCGAAAAAACATTAAGTAAACATTTAGCTTTCTGATTTGGAGTTTAAGGGCCATCAAAACATCTTCTATTCCTCTCTGTCCATAAACTCCAAAAGGTAGCTGCAGGAATCATCAGCCAGATTTTCTTGATGGCCACATCAACTTTCCATTAACTCCCAACTTAACTGTGCCCGTCTCAGGTTCTGTGGCATGACCCAGCTTAGACCAAAAATGCTGTAGAACATACTCTATATATCAGTGGCTACATTGCAGTGCAGTAAGAGATGACTAACTGTTTCCTGATTCCTTCTACATAGGTAGCATCTGTTAACCAGCTGGAAACTTTTCCTGTTAAGATTGTCTTGTGTTAGACAAGCTTCATACAAGGCAATCTAGTTGAAGCATATTACCTCAATAGGAAGTTTGGTTCTCCATATCAATTTCCAGGGCGAAGAATCAACCACCTGATTTTGTAGCAGTCCTTTACTGAGAATATCCCATTTCTGCCCCAACGCATGGTGTCTGAAAGATCTTCAACAACGTTACAACTATCCATTTTTGCTTACATTTCAATCAAACTTCCCATTTCCCAGTCTTGGACAGGTCTTCTTTGATGTATATCCCTGGACTGATTGCTTCTGTTTTGGGAAATTGAGGAATTTTTATCCACAGCAATGTTGAAAATGCTAGGATAAACATCCTTGAGAGCATTGCTGTTTGTCCTTCCAGAAACTGATGTGCTTTCACTCCCGGTTTGAAATGGATCTTTTGAGAGAAATCATGGCCCAGTTTGCTGATGAACTTCCAAGGACCAAGTCCATAAGGGGCATTGGTAATATTAGTACTCCAGTTGTCTTTGCTTCCATGCTTAGCCTTGATCATCCCCTTCCAGAGGCTTTGCTCACCTGTGCCATAACTCCATAGCCACTTCATGAGCAGGCACTTATTGTTGATGGTTAAATTAGTGAACCCTAAAGCTCCGTTGCACTCAGGCTGTGTAACTTCACTCCATTTCATCAAGTGCAATTTGTGGGAGCTGTAGTTCGTTTCCCATAGGAAACCCCTTCTGATTTTTTCCAGCTGCTCTAACACCTTTTTAAGTATGTCTAAAACTTTATACCAAGTCTGAAAGCTATTTGCAGATGATCTCTGGCCAGTCTGATCACCCAAAAAGACGATGGCTTACAACACTACTTCCTCGTTGAAGTTTGATAAGTACATTGTTGTTTTTCCTTCTTTAAGGAAGAAAGATGGTAAACGCGAGCAAACTCAATTGGCTTAGCGCAATTTCTAAGCTAGCGTTTGGACATAGATTTGGTTGAAACTTGAAAAAAAAAGCTTTTGCAAAAATAGTTTTTGGAAGTTGAAGTTGGGTTTGGACATGCATTCATTTTACTTGAAATTTTTTTGAAGTTTCTGGGTGGAAGAGAAAACTGGCCAAAACCCGTTTTTGGAACTTGAAAAAAATATTTAAAAATTGATTAAACTCCATGAACCAACAATGTTCTCAATTTTTTTACAAAATTCCAAAATCTTGTGGATAAAGTGGCCATCTTTCGGCAAAGCGATTTAGTTTATTTAGGTTTTCGCTAATAAATATCATCATCTTGACTAAAAAAAGATGATGAAAATGCATATCAGAAAGAGGGAAAAGCAAAGTATTCTGAGTGCGAGTTGGATCATTCAATTTTGGCTATTAGAATGTTCTCGTTTTTGATAGTTTTGGAGAAAAAATTTCAGTCAGCATTCATCTCGTAGAGGTGAACTCTTTCCACATCAATACTTTGTCAGAAAAAGAGGAAATGCATTGGAAAGATGTGCTATGGAAATTAGTAATCTTTCATATGAAGAGCCGCTCCTGCTATACGAGGTCCGAAAAGGGCTGTGCCACATCATGCTTATTGTACACAACCTTATTTTGCATTTATGCAAGAGATTGTTTCCAAGGCTTGAACTTGCAACCTCCTTTTAAAATCAAATGTAAAACTAGTTCATTTCCTTGTGAAAGTTGCAAAAGATTATCCCATGAAAATGGACTAGTGCTGTCACTCTTTTTACTGGGCTTGTTAATTAGTTCTGCTTGCTATTTTATTTGTCTTTGCTATTACATAATTTTGGTTAATTATATTCCCTCTTCCTCAGAGGGGGGAATAACAGAGTCGTTTTTTACACATTTTACGTACATCCATGAATTTCCTCTTGAAATTTTGACCACCACCTTTGTACACTGCATATGGAAGTGGCATCCTTTCCTGCACGTATTTGCTAAAATTTTGATTACGGGTTTGAAACAATTTGTTTTGTTGTGTTTTAAATTTTAGTAGTGCTTCCATCACACACAATTATCCATTTTTTTCTTTATTTAAAAACAATACCCCAAAAAGAGTTGAGGTTATTGTGCCAGGATTGTTCCTGCTTTCTCTTTTTCTTCCGTTTGAACTTTTTTCTAAATACCCCCTCTGTCAATTAAGGTTTAATTCAGGGTCCTATTGTTTGTACCTTCTCCTCTAAATTAGCAGCACCTGCATCCAAAAAATCAGTTAGAAGGGGAAGGCCACTTGATGCTGCCTGGGATTATGCTACACCAGTTGATGCAAAAAGGCAGAGAGCAGTTTGCAAGTATTGCGGTTTCATATCTTCTTCTGGAGGAATTACACATCTTAAGGCACATTTGGCTGGAGGTGATCCAAAAGGGCCCTCAAAAGGTTGTCCCAATGTGCCGCCTGAAGTTAAAAGGGCAATGGCAGAATCGCTCAACAGAACAGTGAAAGGAGCGAAATCCATGCAGCCAGATGAGATCAGGAGTTACATGAAAGGTATGTTTCTAGGGATATAGCACATCCAGAACTTGCTTCCATGAGGAAGTGTGCAATATCTCCACGAAGGTTTTTGTACCATATATAAAACTATAATGCATCTTTTAGTCTCCAAGAAAAACGAAGGGTATTAGAAAATTTTAGAATAGTTAACTCTTTAGTTTACATAGAAATTTACACTTTTTCTTGCTGTACATCTTTACTTCTCCTTTCTTAATATAGTAACTACTTTTTCCAAACGTTTCAGCGGAAAATGATTGGTCTCCTCCCAGGTCAGATGACTACTCGTTGAATCAACATAGAATTGCCAAGAATGCTCAGTACTCACATTTTGCCAATGGGGGGAATTCTGTAAATGATATGACCATGTTAAAGCAATCAGAGACTGCACATGTTGATAGTTATATGGAGGTTATGAGTTCTCACAATGCTTGTAAGTCGAGCTTCTTAAGCAAACCTTCAACTCAAGTAGGTTTTATTTAACATGTGCATCAGTAGGTTGAGGACTAAGAGCTAGGAAGGAAGACAGCTTAAATCTAATGGTGAGAACATGCTCCATTAATTTATGACATGATAAAACATACATGAGAACAGATGACAAAGTTGATTGTGCTACTTTATCAGCAAAAAGGTTGGTTCTTTTGATGTACAAACACCTTTTAACCCAAAGCTTGACAACAACAACATGGTGACATTGCTTGTGATTATTGTATCTATGTATTTGTTGCGATGTTCCCTCCAGTTTGGAGTGATTTTACAGTTCTATTAAACAGGTTGAGAATCTCCTCTTTAGTGTAAGACATTTGAAAGTTCTGAAGTCGATACTTGCTGAGAAAGCCTGGTTGATACTGAATTGAACCCGACATTATCTTACACTCAGGTGTTTAAAGATGCAAATACTCTTTGCAAATCAGTTGGAGATGAACTTAATTTAGATATGCATGATAGGTTGATGGTATTTCGTTTTTGGTCATGAGTGTTAGGCTACTATTCTCTGGCTCTATCGGCACATCTATATGTGAAATGTGCAACATTTTCAAAGCTTGTATCTTTAAAAAAAAATGTATTTCATATGTGTTTGTTCCTTGTATGACTACTGAATGTCTAGTTCTGGAAATGCACGAGTAGATCCAGCAAAATCTAACATTAATAATAGTGAAAGCATAACAATGAGTCTCGACATATGCATACAACAATGGAAAAGAAGCAAACTTGAAGTTGGAATTGTTTGAACTTTAGATCCTTGGACCTAACGTTTATGTTTTGACAATTCCAACTTAAATCCTGTAATTTTTCAATTTTAGTTTTGTCGGTAGACTTCTCCATTTTCTCAAATTACATGTTGATTTCTTCATAATTATTGATTTATTAGGCAATTTATTTGTGTGAGCTGAAGCACGAATATAATTAAGAAAGTCTTAACATTATTTATTTGTGGGTGGAAACTCCGAAAAAAATCAAAGATATTGAGAACATTAATATATTGATAAAAAAAAGAAATTTAAGTCAAATGATTTATCAATATATTATTGAAATGCTTTTCAATTTACTTGTTCCTCAAAATATTTAATGATCCAAACGTCAGTAGACCGGAGAATTTGAAGTTAATTTTAGATTTATCCCTACACTTTCAAATAGGCAGTAGTATTTCAATAACAGAAAAGGCTAAAAAATACTCCTAAATTATCCAAAATAACTCACATTTACCCTTAAATTATATTCCGGCTCAAAACTAACATTCCCGTCATACTACTGGGTCAAACATACCCTTCTGTTAACAGAAGTGTGTTAAGTGCTATGTGAACCACATGGATGACACGTAAGCGCCACAATTTCATCTGACTAATAATAAGATTCCTAATCTCTAATTTTTCCCCTCATTTCTCCATTTCCATTTGAAACTATTTCACCCGCCCTTTTCCCCTCGTTTCTTCTTCAAGGACAAGATTTCTGCTTACTGTTTGATATAAACTGAAGCTGTTCTTGTCTGTAACTTATCGTGGTGAACTATTTTATTGAAAACCTTGTATTATTGTCTGGTTGTGATTTAGTTGAATGAAAAGAGAAGAAATATTTGATGGTTTATTTGTTGTCTTATTCATATATATAAGATGAATGTCAGAACTATCTTTTGTTTACTAGCTTTGAAAAGAAAAGAGTCAAGACTTGAAGTATCATCTGGAACTGCAACTCAATTAGCTTTGAGTACACGAGAACGATATTCTCCCAATGCCCAGATTGGGAAAATGTTCCTATATGCAGAATATGATATCATGCAGTTCCTATTGAAGACCCCGCTGATCTCCTGACAAATAAAAAAAACAATCCATATTAGAATGCCTGAATCGGTTTTCAAAACAATAAGTAGGAAACACGCAAATCAGGGGGATCTTTGTAGCTCATTTGGTTGGTTACCTAGACTTTCATCTTGTTAGTAAGGTGAAAGAAACATGCAAATCATAGTGACTGGACATTCGCCCTTCGATTAATCATATTGGGTCAATTGAGGTTAAAAAAATAAGATTATTAAGTTCTGCATGCAACAAACATAACCATGTATGTACATATATATACAATTTGGATATGAAAACAGCTCCACTACCAGTTTACTGAATCTATTGCCGCCTCAGAAATGTAAATTAGGATATTTCAACCATCAAAATTTAGGTGTTCCACTTTAAATACTTTATCCTCACTAAACACAATAAACCACATTGAAAACAGTATATTTAGAGGAAAAGCATATTAAACCCCTAAAATCATGAAACAATGAAACCCATGTTAATTTAAAACTGCCGGTACTAAGGAATGACAATGTGATAGGTGCAAATATTATCTTACGTTAACCAAAACACCATTTTCTTACCCCAGCTGTTATACTTGAATATAAGTCTTGCCTAGCTAACGAGACGATAAGCAATATGTAGTGTTAGACCTTATTCATTGAACCAGCCTTTACCAATTTTTTCTCCAATGCCAATACTCCTATAAGCTTACTCTCCCATGCAGATTGTACTACCCAGTTCTCCTGATCTCTCTCTCAAGCTCTCTTCTTCCCTTCCCCCCAGACGAAAGATACCCAACACTTGCCAGATTCTGTTGAACAACGTAGTTTATATTTACATGCTTCCTTTCCCAAAATGGTATGCAGCTGTTAATTCAAGTTAAGCCCCAAACTCTATCCAGGAGGCACAGCCAGATTTAAAACCAAATCAAAACTAAAACAACAAGAGCTTAGGCAACCTTTAACTTCAAAGTCCAAAAGTAAAAAGAGGCTACACTCTTCAGTTTTTTTAAATACCAACCAGGCACTGGTTCTTATACCATAACAGGCAATTTTAAGCTACAAAGCTTAGAGGCTACAAAGTTACCTGCTGAGGGTAATCTCCATTTTCTTGCTGAGCATTTATTAGTTCTTTTGCTGCAGAGTGTAATGGTGTAGGATTTCTCTCAGCCTGCAATTGTTAAGGGGTAAAAAGTAAACTTCAGCAGAAAAAAGTGGCTGATTTGCATATATAGTTCCACATCTCAATAATCTACAAGGATGTGTTGTGCATAAAGGCATGACAACCCTCGGTCATTATCACAAAGCAGAAGACCCAATAGTTATGAATGTATACAAAATATTCAGCTGAGAGGTGTGAGCAGATCCAAGATGTTGGGATGTACTGATGACACCAATTTATTGCCTGAAGATTTCTACGTCTAAAATTTTCAAATTAGGAATAACCATGTAAATCAACTACTTGAGTATGCCAAATGCTTCACAAAGGTCTTCACTAAAATCTCGTTAAAAAGAACAATTTAACACTAAAGAATTGTCAAGAGACGGAATAAATGATGGCTATCTAAATACAAAATTACCCTTACAAAAGCACATCATTAGAAGCCTCAAGAAATGACTATGACCAAGTGATCTTCTGGCATCACCGCCAGTTCACTATTGATCTCCCCACCCCACCATCCTTCCTCCCCTTCGAAAGAAAGAGAGGGAGAAGAGAGAAGGGTAAACTATCAGCATTATTTCAGAGGAATGACAACTTTAGCAGAGGGGGAAGCATTTGAAGAAAATCGACTGAACGAGACTCATGATTGTAGAAATCATTTCGGTTGGGTTGGTCTTAAAAAGTGGGAAACTGACTATTTTGGTTTTAACAATTATGTATCATAGAAAACTAAAACAAACTGATTATTGGTCATATATGTTCCTACAAGCTTTCTTAATTTCCTATAATTAGAGTATTTATGTTTCAATTTCTCCTCTTAGGTCTTTACTGATGAGAAAACATTAGTCTCTAATGGGGTTCTTTTTGCTATAATGTTTTCTGTGGTTGAAGGAATTCGTATCTTATACATGTTATTATAATTATCATATTTGGTTTGATTAGTGGAATAATTGTTAGAGCCTCTTCAATTAAATGTATGCTCTTAATTCTTATTTGCATTACTGTAGGTTTATTTGTTTCTAGTATTTTTACCATTTCTAGTATTTTTGAGCTTTTTCTTCAATATTAGTACTAGTTTTCAAACAAAATTTTGTTTAATTTTCTAAAACTGATAAACTGAACAAAAGCAGTATACCAAAACTCCAACACTATTTATCTTCAATACTCATGGTTAGTTTTGTCTGCCTTTATGATCCAAACCATGCACACTAATCAATGTATCGATATCATCGGAAGTCTCAGTCACTATTGGCTCCAGAACATTTTTCTGAGGATATAAGATAGTCAACAACAGCTTGGTCCCTCCATCTTTCAATTTTCATCCATGAAGGTACATAGCAATTGTCAAGAGGTCTTTATCTCTCCAGAAAATTACACAGGGCATCAGCAGAAGAAAGCAACAAATTAAGGTTTCAAACTAGTTTTTTGATTTTCCTATGAGAATTTCAAAATGAAGAACATCTATTTCTTTGTCAACATTACCAGTTTTTTTTTAAAAAAGAACATCTATTTCTTTGTTCAATTGAAACGGATATATTTTAACTATTTATTGTTACTTACAGTTCTGACAATCATGTACGGGTCAAAACTTTATTAGTACCTGTCCAGCAGCAATTAGAGTCAGCATAGCCCATGCTGTATTTACAACATGAGATCTGTTGCCTTCAAGATTTGTATACACCTGTAAGGAAGACAAGGAAAAGAGAAGACAAGAATGACTGGTGTACAAGAAAAGAGAAGGCAAAGATAACTCTCCCTACTGCATCTTATAGGAGATATGACAAGCACCTTGATAGTACGAGGAAATATGTAGCTATTTAAGTCATACTGATTTGTTTGTAAATATTTTCTCACTGCATTATAAAATATGAACTGACAATACCCCTAACCCAAGTCTTTATTCATGTTTATCTATGAATTTCTAACATACAGGCTACGTTGCTTGGACTCTTCACTTTTGGTGTCACAACCCCTGTCGACACCACATGGGTGTGGGATCCGTGCCTGATTTTGGGTACTTTGACCAAAATTGATAGAATTTCCGTACAAATTCAATAATTTCTATAATCAAAACAAAAGCTAAGGTGAAATTGAAGAAAATGGAATAATACCTTATATATAGGAATTTCAACATCACTCCCTTTCTTTTTATCTCCTTCTAGGATTCTCCTCAAATTTCTCACATAATATCTCATGATTTAGGTTTTATGACTCTAGTTAAGGATATTTGAATTATTTTTTGTTAAATCACCACACCCGAATCCATACCTGGATCCGTATCCCAAAATCTTAAAATTTAGATCATGAAGGATCCGAACCCGTATCGAACACTTGCACCTGAGTCTGAGCAACATAGCATACAAGTCGTAGATCTGAGCACTCTACCTGATTATGTTTATAGTCAAATATCGTTGTTCCATTCTTAATCTTATCTCTCTTAAGTGTAATCACACGTCAACCTCAACATCCTCATTTCTGTCACTCTTCATCTTTCAGGACATGCAAGTTCTTAACTGGCCAACACTCTGCTCCATATAACATAGTCGGCCTAATCACCATTCTATAGAGCTTTCCTTTAAGTTTTGGTGGTACATTCTTATCACACATGATTACCAAAGCGAGCCTCCATTTCACCCACCCTGCACTAATATGATGTGTGACATCATTGTTGATCTCCCCATTGCCCTAAATTAGAGATCCAAGATACTTCATCTCTCTTGGGGATGACATGTGTATCTTGTCTCACTTCTATCCACCCTCATGCGATGCGTCACTGAACTTGCACTACAGGCAATATGTTTTCGTCCAGTTCAACGTGAACCCTTTAGACTCTAAGATATGTCTCCAAACCTCCAACTTAGTGTTAACTTTGTCGTGAGTCTCGTGGATTGTTTAGTTCTCTGGATAAGATTAGGTGAATGGCTTGTGAAGATAATGGATGGGTTTGTAACACTCATGTCGATATTCAGTTTAGAACGAAATAAAGGTGGGAATAAGTTTGTGACTAAAGCTTCACTTACATAAATGAAATGACCCATAATAATAAACTTATATTACAATCAATGTATATCAACAAGCATAGACTATTCATGAAAAATATTTATGAAACTATTACATGAAAACAGTCATAAAAAATCATTAATTCAGGGAAAATATTAGAGCAATATGGGGAAAAAAACTATTTAACAATACGTGTAACAGGTAATGGTGAGGAGAGAGATATAAGGACAAAAGGATCGGAAACATCCTGTTATCCCATGGGGCCGGGAAGGGTAGAGGGGGTTGTACTGCATTTGCATTCCCAAATCTAATCACAAAATAGCAGAAACAACCAAAAAATTTAATTTTATCCAAACTCATCCCACACCAAAATTCGCAAAGACCACTTTAGATGTTCCGAACTTGAAAGTTGCTGAGGGACAAGTTTTCAATGTTCCCAACTTAAAACTTGACGAGGGACAAGTTTAGATTTACTATGCACAGAAAAGATAAGATATGCAAGGAGCCAGAATAAGAATTAAATAAATGAGATGAGATGAAAGTACCTTATTTTGACATGACAGATAACTCTCCCCCCAGCCACCAGATGAGACTTGTTTGGACAGCAAAAATGTACATGCCTTGCGGATGCTGGAAGAATTATTGTAGTTCCTTCCCGCAGCTAGCAAGCCAAGCACCCCAAACCAAGTGCCATAGGTGAAGCAAACTGCCCAAGAGCCATACCTAAAAAGGAACCTCAAACGCTAAATACAAATCGATGATTTCACAAGAAAACTGTGGACGTGAAATTGCTTCATTGTACATAGAAAAATGTCTTGGTAGTTCTACTGCATGTTCGAAAAATGAGGATAACAAGAACTAACCAGGAGCCATCTGTTTCTTGAATTGATTCAATGAAAGCGGCAGCTTTAGCAATACAGCGTTCAACTTCTTCTTTACGATGACCAGGGTATAATTTCTTAAATGCTGTTAAAGCTTGAATTGCAGCTGAGGAACACTCTACATAACTGTATAGTGACAAAGCTGTGTGGTTAACAGGAATCTGTGGATGTATTTTGTACGCATACATATACTGCTATACAAGAAACAAAGTTAAATATAGGTGCAAATGACTTACGGGTAATCAATAACAATATCTCCAAAAGTCTCAGCAGGGTTGATTAGCTGAACAGGAAAAAAATAATTCCAAATCAACAAAGACTTGAAAACTTGCATAATACATATCAAATAACCAGCAAACCACCAATAGTCCAATACATCCATGTAACGTTATGTCATGTCCAAGTACAGAATGAATGTTTGTGCAAGATCTACTTTAATGATTTTCCTAAATTCTCTAGCACCTCAGTCCAAAACATCAAAAAAGGACAAAAGAATAAAAATGTCATTGTGGGAAAACCTTTCATTTTCCTTACTACCCTTTTATTTATGCTAGGCATTAATTCACAACTAGCCCATAGATGTCAAAGTATCCGATGTTTGGCAAATTGTTAACTTCCTAATGTGGACTAAGGAGTCAGAATGCACCAGACACCCCAGCAAATAAGACTAGGGAAAAATGTAGATGGCCATCTAGTGTGGTCTATGGCATTGAACATATTAGCTAAAGGAAGCTGAAACGTAGCTTAACAACTTAGGACACAAGCATAGAGTGCATCATCCTACTGCAGCAATAGATGACCAATTGAACCCAATGTTCTTTATTTCCTCCATGTGACCTAATGAAACCTGCTTGATGATTCACTCTTAACTTGTAGACGTAGAAGCACTCACCTTAGTATTAACTGTAAAAGTTCTATATATTTTACGTTTAAATCTTTTGATTTTTGAATAACATGAAGATTAGCTCTGATACATACGAATCAGACCAATTAGCACTCCGCCATGCATTGATGGACAAGTGGTTCAACATTAGCACTCCACCAGGTTTTTCCATACTAGAGAGGCTTGCGGGCAGAGTTTTATTGTAGTCATATAAACATCTTTAAGAACAAACGATGACCATAATCTCTAGTGGAGTGTAATACGAGCCATAAAAATTTAGAACTTCCCCAGAGCAAAATAAGAAGAAAAAATTATCTAATTTTCTTTCATAGCAGGAAACAACTTCAAAAGTAAAAAAAAGAATTTGCTAGCCTACTAAGCATGAGCGGAATCACATTGAATAAAATGGTGTATATGAATCCACCAACTTGACAAAAAATGTTATTATGTGTAAAAGCAAAAAAGCTATGACATCGAGAATAATATTTTCTAAAGGGAAACATGAAATAAATGTAATTTTGCAAATGAAGTACCTCCAACCATGGATATGACCTTGAGAGTTCATATGTTGCAAAGCCGCCACCACTATTCTGCATATATACCAGGAAAAAGCTTTTTTAGTGATTCACAGGACTGCAGTTTTAGGAACAACAAATAACAAAAAATTATCTCAAAAACTTCAGAAAGGCATAGATTTTATCAGCTGGATTCAGATAAAGAGCCTAGAGATGTGGCTAAATTAAGCTCACTGTCAACTGGTTGGATAACTTCAAATTAATCTGCTCAGAGCATGCTTCAATAAATAAGTACTTTTAGTGTTCTATGGAATACGGGTGCAGAGGTAAAAAATTGAAATTCTAGCACATCAACTGGAATTAGCATTTACATTTACAATTACATAGAAAGGACAGAACTCACAAGAAGACCCAGATCATTCTCATATCCCAAACAAGTTAGTTTATATGATACCTTTGGGAGGTAGGAATCAATAGAAGTTGTTTTACTTTTACATGCAGTTGATGGAATGTAGCGAACTAACTTTCAAGTAACAAGAATTAAGAAGAATGGTATCCAAGTTATCTACTGCATGAGTTAGGAATGCAATCCTGCTTCAAGTCAAACAAATTAGCTTGATTTAGCCTTTACGAAACCAAATTAGGCCAGTTTACAGTAACTAATCTGCAAGGGCAGTTGACAGAAATCATAGCACGTGCTCTTATCTGTGTTTGATTAGAATATGTACAGAAGCCAGGGGTTAAAGCTATGTTAATGCCTCCTATCCCTTTTCGGTGACATTGCCTTGAAAAGATCAAAGTAGATTCTGCTATCCAGATCCAACCAAGCACAATGTTACCTCCTAGTACATATTTTGAGATGCCAATTTTTTTGGAACATGGTTGACTAAAATGTCATAGCTCAACATGAATTTAGCTTTACTTACAAAAGCCTCTAAATGATAAATTAGCTTATTTTTCTGCCACAACGCACAATATCCGAAACTTAACATCCAGCAGGCCACATTAAGCATCTTGGGGATGCATTAAGAGCCTAAAGAGCATCTAAGAAAAGATTGAAGCCACTCTTGGAAATGACAGTTCACGCACAAAAATGCAGCCTTAACTAAAAATGACGGGAAGTGAAAGGCAAAGTAAAGACACAAATTATGGGAAATATGAAGGGAAGAATGCTATTACCTGTAAAGAAAGCAAAACATTTACAGCATCATACAAGCGCTTCGCCTCCAATGGATTACCGACTATCTCTGATGGTAGCTTTGATAATAGAAGAACAGCCTGGTAGACAGAAATAGGTTAACAGAAATTGGAACATATCAATAGGTTGTGAATGGTTGTTACAAATACTAGCCTTAAGTCCCTCTGCAGTACAATCTGAAATGGGCCACCCATGATCTGCAGTTGAAAAGGGCCAAGCACCTTTTGAAATATGACGATACCAGAAATCTAGATCACCCGGGCAATTATCTAACACCTTCAAAGTAAAGAAAGGATCTTGCAAATTATATCAATATCAGAGGTAAAAATCAAGATAATATGGAAGATTACACCATAGATAATAATAATATGACCCGGCAAATGTTATACTTGTGTATTTGATAAGAATGAATGTGCTTTTCTCAATGTTGATCCATATTCTTCGCCAAACCCTGTCGCAATGATTGCTTGAACTGCAAATGATGTATCCCAAGATTGACTTCCATTGTACCCCTACAATATGGCAACGGATAATCTATATATCATCAGACGTAAGGAAAACAGAACTTATAAATGACCAACGCCAGTATAACAACGGTAGGATATTTAGGAAATATTTTAAACATAAAAACTGGAAAGTGATATTTGTACACCTTCATTTTCATGCCATCTTCAGCAACCCACATATAATCATGAATTCTTGGAAGATGCAACTTGAAAGCTTCTGAATTAGGATCTTCAACCCAGCAGCAAAGCATATTTATAATCTACAAACGAAAGGCCAGTTTTTCAGCAAACAAATGAAGATTATACCCATATTAGTCATGTCATCTATCAGGAATAATTGAAACTTGCAGGCAAACAGAAGAATAACAGACTTTCTAAATAGATTTCTCATTTGCCTAATATTGAACGCAATAAAGTAAAGCTTAAAAAAATGCGGGAGACAGTAAGAAGCATCTGCAAACTGCATTTTGACACAATCTTGAAAAAAGATCATCAGATTTTATAGCTAGGTAAGTTTGAAAAACAATCACTAGTGTATGGATTAACGAAGGCCATCACTAATGAAAGTTAAGGACTAATACCTTGTTTACAGGTCCTATGCATACGTAACGAGTGTTTTCATCTTCATAATGAATGTGCTCCATCACGGTGCGCAGAGATTTTTCCCTCAATTTTTTCCCCGGCCAATGCATCAAAATAGGTTCTACAACCTTGTGAAGAGTTGCCCACATGATATCTTGTACTAGAGGGTGTGGGTAGTAAAGGTCTTCCTGCAGAAAATTTAGAAAGTTAAAGAAGATACAATCCAGAAAAGAGAACAGTATAAGTTGCAATCCACATGTCTTAGTGATGCAAATGTAGAAGCTACATTATATTTTGCTTCAAGTTATTAGCCAAGTTCATAGGTGTGGACTTGCTGCAAGAATGTGACTTCTTATTTGTTGTTTCTTTTCTTAGTTAGGTGTATTAGATCCCCAGTATAACTCCAGATTTTTTAATGCCTCGAAAGGATGATGGACAAAAAATCTCTCAATTACATTACCATCAATGTCTATCAGTCTGGTAGTACAAGCATTGTTATTGATACATTATTACAAGAATTTATGTTTTGATTTCATGCATTTTTCCAGATAACAATGGTGTGCGGGCCAATGTATGTGCACCTCAACTATTTCACTGAGAACCTTTTACCCCACCAGTAGGGGTTAACTCTGCCCACCATGGTTTGGACAGATGAGAAGAAATCATCCATCTTTATTTATCTCTGCATGGGTTTGAATTCTAGTTTTGCATAGAGCACACCCTTAGTTCAGAGATACTTGGATTTGAGTTATTGAAAAACTTTTGTTCCACTAATTCTATTCATCAAGTATATTTCTCAAATAGCAGCTGGACATGGAGATGATTAAGCTTCATGAAGTTTCAACTACAATAAACTTCAAAACATGGCATAATGTTTGGGAGTCACTTTAGAAGGATACCTTGAAGAAAGCTTGGAACAAGGTTGCAACTTAGAAAATGAGATTTTGTTCAGCCAAATGCTAAATTTGACTATACTATGAAGAAACACTATGACAAGTTAGAAAAATGCAACTTAGAGCTTGGTGAGTTTGCACTAATTTTTCATGTTCTATGAAACCACTCAACCCTTGTTTCTTCTTGAAAATCACGATCCTCCTCGATTGGCTCTTTGCTAACTCGACAAATCACGTCACCAAGTTGTGAAAGAAGTGCAAGAAGTCCAAGTTTGAAGTTTCCTTGCACCAAAAATAGGACTCCTCTCCTCCCAAGAATAAGACTTATTGTTTGTTATTTTCTTTTCAGAATAAGTTTCTTGTTTCTTTTGTGGTTAACTTAAAAATTCGCATCAATTTGTATCTGCTGCTTATTATTGAAGATCTGCGTCAAAAGACTTTGAAGAAGGGAAGTATTGATCTGACCACATTAATTTCATCTACACTTTTCTCAAAGTCAGTTACTTGCCAAAATGTGATATAAATTTCACTGAATAGCCAGAGATACTCTCCACTTAGGGGTCGTTTAGTGTGAAGGATAACATCAAATAGTCCTGGGATTAAATTATAGTGGCACTTAATGTGTTGTTTGGTTGGCAAGTCTAAGATAACTTATCCCGGTATTAGTACCGGGATAAATTATCCCTCCCCTTGGGTGGTATAGTAATCCCGGTATAACTTATCCCGGCATAACATAGGTAAATGACGAAAATATCCTTTTAAACCCTTTATATACATCACTTTTCACATTCAATATTTACATTATTTTTAATACCATGTATAATAACATTCACAACCTTCACCACTTCTTATTTTATGATAATTCTTCATATTTTTCTATTAAAAAATTACACTATATAAATATAATTTTTATTTATGAATTTATTTGACTAATTCTTATGTTTATTTATAATTTCTCATAAAACAAATTATTTTAACAAACTTAAGATGGAAGTTCTATTTTTAAGCTAAATAAGAAGAAAGTTTTATTTTTAAATACATACGATACCATCACGGGAATGCACAAACAAAAATATTTAAGCTAAATAAGATGAAAGTTTTATTTTTAAGAATGAAGAAAACTAAATAAAGTGGAGGGTGATTTTTGTAAACGAACAACTTGTTTTTAAAATTTATGCAATGCATGTTATATTGAATACAACAAACCAAACACTCAATAAGAAATAATCTCAGCATAAGTTATCCCATCATAACTAATTCCATCATAACTTGTATTCGAACCAAACGACCCCTTAAAAATAGTAGATAGTAGGACCCTTGGCTAACATCTTATGTAATATGAATCAAATACCAAAAGGATTAACTCGATCTTATGTTATAAAGTTGGACCCAAAAGTAAATGTTCCAAATAAATAAGAAAAAGATGAAAACTTTGGTAAACTCAACAAATATACTTTGGAAATTTACATTATCCCTGAAGAAGAATGAAATTTGTGAACAAAAATCTGCACAACGATCACCTGGAAAATGTCTAAGCTGAAAATCAGGATATAAGTTGTATCTCCACTAGGTGTTGATATAATGATGGAATAATCCTTAGATTGAAAAAATGCAAAGAGAAGATTTCATGCATATAAACAAGCAGCTCGGTCAGCTTGAAAAATAACCAGAATGGTACTACAATCTTAAGTAAATGAATAATGATCTAGTGAGATAAGCCTGCGGAAGATCAATAAGATCGGAAGGTTCGCCTGAAAAATACTTTTCAAAAAGGGTATCAAAAGTCACTCTATTAGCAAGGTCCAAATAGAATCTTCACCATGGAGATGCCTGCCCAAGGAATATGTCAAATAAGTTTTCATTTTCAAACAGGAAGGAGAAAGGACGTAGAGCCTGGCAGGCAGCAAGAAGAGAAACAAGATACGCGTGAATGATTGAGTTTTGGTAATGGGTCTAGAGAGAACAAGGAACATACAGATGCAAGAATTTGGGCAACTCTTAGGTTGCAAGGCAGTTGGTCTATAATTTTTAATATCAGCTCACCAAAAGCTCTTCATGAAAAGCTAGTGCTTGACTGACATTTGACGAATGATGTATAATTCTTTACGATCTAACAGTTATTGAGGCTCAATAGCGTATCAAAAGCTCATCATAAAAAGTTACTGCTTGGCAGAGACCAACTTAGAGTAATACTATGGTTGATACCACCTGCTTTTTGTAGGAACCACAGGAAGAGAAAACTGTCCCACCATTTAAATTTAGAAGAGATGTTCATAGCTACTTTTCTGAAAGACATCATTAACTGAGTCTGTGAAGACTAAAAATGAAAAGGGAAAAAACCTCCTACATGTTACAAAACTAGGTTTTTGGTATATTAGTGTTGTGAAAGGGTCAGTTTATGTGTTTGCCACCTAAAACTTGGTGAAGCATAAACCCCAAAACATCGCACTTCATTTCACTTAGGTGGCACTTCAACTCAAGCACCAAGGGGCATGCACCTCATCATACAGACTTTGCTTTGAAGAGAGAGAGAGAGAGAGAGAGCTAAAGTGATGCACTAATTTTTATGCAGAGGTTAGATTAAATAGATATATTGATGATTAAAAAAATAGAAATATAGCTTAGAATACCAGTCACTAAATATTAATTAGAAACTTTAAATTGTATCATTGCATCGAACTGCTTTATAAGGTAAAATCCTAGAAGACCTTGGTGTTTTGATTTGCTATTTGCCTTCTATAACACTGCAATATATTTCTATGTAGATCTAAAATTTGTTTGGGATGATTATTTTTACACAATTTATTGCATACTAGCAGGATCTATATTGTAATTATTTATGTTACTGTTGGCTGTTTCTAAATCTTCTCCAGGTTGTCCAGAAACAGAAGGGAAAACGGAAGTAGAGAAAACAGGAAGTATACTTTAACAAATAGCAGATCCTACCAAAAGCTATTAATGAGAAGTTGTTGCATAATTTTCAATCAAGCTATTTATGGAAAAGATGTTTTGAAGGCAAGAGCAGTTCAATCCAGAAGATTTAGAGTTCTTGCAGTTCTCTTTTTCATTTTTGGTGTAAAGAACAGTTATCCTCGAAGTAGTAGTAAGGTCTGCATACACTCTACCCTCCGCCCTACTTAGTGAGATTTCACTGGGTATGTTGTTGTTGTCATGTAAAGAACAATTAGTAGATGATGCAGAATCATTACTAGACTTTTTGGCCTCTTTGTAAGGTTTTTATTAGAGCATGTATTAGTAGATATACCACCAATTTCGGAAAAAAAGTTTACATTCTAAAAGTTCTTGGGGCTAACATCAGCTCAACAACAGCTCTTCATGAAGAATTAGTGCTTGGGTGGGATCAACTCAAATAATACTATGGTTGATGCTGACATGCATTTTGTAGGTATCACAGAAGAAAAGTGTCCCACTGTTTGATGTCACAAGGAGACATCTATAGTTACTTTCTGAATGAAAACATCGAGTAATGGTGTATGTGAAGATTAAAGTTGAAACAGCAAAAAACCCTACATGGTATAATCAGGTCCTAGTGTTGTCAATGATTGACTTGTCACATGTTATAACCTTGAAGCTAGGGGTAGCATAAGCCCTGCGCTTCACCTTGCTTAGGTGGCACTTTACTTCGAACACTGAGGCGGTATGCACCTAGCTCATACACCATCTTAAAGAGGGAGATACTAAACAATCAACTAGCGAAAGTGATCTATTAGATATTAAGAGATGTGGTTAATGAGTATGTTAGTGTTTTTTAAAAATAAAAAATTTAGTCTAGAGAATTAGTCACTATATATTGATTACAAACTTAAAATTACATCTTCACATCAAAGTTAAAACTTTAAATTAATCTTTAACTTAGTTAACATGATTTAAACTCTATATTTCGCTTAGTTAAAATGATTTTTATTTATATGTTATATAGTAGTTACTGTTGCTTTTCACCTTTAACAACACTACTGTTTATTCTATTTAGATTCTTAATGGTTATGAGATGATGATTGGGCTCATAATGCATACTAGTTAGATCTCTATTATAATTATTTTGCAACAGTAGGATGTTTCTAAATCTACTCATGATTGTCCAAAAACAGAAGGCGAGAACAGTAAATAAACATAGACAAAATTACTGCTCCTACCAACCTTTGCACACTCATTGCGAGCTTTATCCCAATCTACTTCATGATACGGGACCGTAAAGAGCTCCTTTCTCAAAGATAAAACTGTTGGCGTGATAGGACCAACAAAGCGTTTACCATAAAGGTAGCACATAGGAAGATAAACCATCCGGCAATGGCACCACATTCTTCCTGAAAAAATGGATGAAACAAGAGTTTCCATTTCTTAGAGAAGACAAGAAGCATACATTTCTTGAGAAACAGAACCAGTAATGTAGTGAAATGTCATGATACAGCCAATACCATAATATGACTATTTAGCATTATTGCTTCAAAGGCACCATTATGCTTCAAAGGCACCAATAACCAATGTAATCAGAGGCAAAAAGAGCAAAAAGAGAAAAGAAAAAGAATCCAAGATCCATTGGAGGTTTAAGCGCAAAGCCCAAATAAAGTTTTTAAGTTTTAATGAAGAAAGGTGCAAATGGAGAAAACAAAATATGTATGTTTAGTCCAAGACTATTAATTATAAGCATGAATAAAAAATATATGGTCAAAGAAATTGAATTTTTTTTACGATAAAGTGATATTCAATTGCTAAGTATCGCCGGATTACGTTCATTGGTAAGGAAAAGTATGTCTTAGAGCCTTGATGATGATACCGCAGCGCCCGCTAGGCAAAGCGAAGCGCTCAACATGTTATGCCCCTCGCGTCAGGGCTTAAGCACCCTTTGACTAAACTGCCAATAACTAACACAAAAGGAAGTGAGTAATGACATATTGACCTTACGAATTTTTTCCTCTGAAATATTAAATTTGCCAACATAATCAGTTTTCTTTCATCCATTTGTTTTTTGAAGACATTGACAATGAGCGTATGTTTCTCCAGTTTACCCATTTCGCCATATTCACCGATAGATTGATTCTCCCATTATTCTATTACAGGTGATGATTTTCCAAAAGAAATAAATGGAAGAAGTTGAAAAGTAGCATAACAGATAAAGGTGAAACTAACCAGGATGGATTGGAAGGATATAGGGAAGAAGCCATATTTCAGGAGGGAGTGGATTGTTCCCAGACCAGTCAAATACTCCAAGCACCTTAATATTAATTTAGAGGAAAATAAAGTTTATTAAAATTTCCAATTTATACTGATCTATCTAAAAGGCATTCTTTCAACCCAAAAAGATGAGGTCTAGAAGTTACTGAACTGAGAGCCACATTTTCCCCCATGACGTAATGGCCGTGGCACTACCATGATCTAGAATCCATTTACGACCCTTTTCCATTGCCCCATCTCCATCATTAGCTCCTTCCCCAAGCAATCTCAGAGTAACATAGCTCAAAGCAGAACCAAACATGGTACTGTGGCTCTCAATATGCAAACCCCACCCACCATCACTGTTCTGTAATTTAACATTGTTACAACAAAAGTTTTTTAGCCAAGCTCCATCAGGTGAATAGTGAAGGAAGAAAAGCCAATGAAATTAACAACAAATTAAATACACAAGCAGAGATGTGAGTATAACCAGAAAGGACTTGCCTGATGGTTATAAAGATATCGAATCATCTCACGTTTATGTTCACTTGAGAATACTGCATTGAGTGCCCCCGTAATAGATAGAGCAATAATCTGTTAACGATGTAAAAGAAATCGAAAAATAATCATTAAAATAGAAGTTATGACCCAATTCTACAGCATAAAACATTAAAAGTATCTTTCAAAGTTAGGCAGCTAGTAGCAGCAATAGAAACATTTACCATGCCAGGCATTAGAAACATCGGGCCTCCATAATCTCCAGCCCAGTGACCGTCATGATTTTGTAGAGTGGAATAAAAACTTAGCGCTCTTCTCAGCGTGGTAGCTACACTATCTTCTGTAATAACTTCATTGTCATGTATTTTGACTTGTGGCAAGATACTAATTCCTTGGTTCTCCTTTGACAACTGATATACAAAAACAAAAAAAAGGGGGGGAATATGATGACGTCAACTGGATAATCAACATATACGCAAGAGCTAATGACACAGTTTTTCATGCATGTTTCCATCATGTAGTCATTCCCCATTCATGTGGATTGTTGGGTATTATTGGTGTGAAAAGGAAATAAAGGTTTTATTCCCGGCGCCTTTTCTCGTAAAGGCAATTATTTTCAGAAAAAAACACCTAATTTTCTGAATAGACACCTATTGTTGGCTATAAACAGAAGCCTTGCCTCAGAATTTATACCATGAAATTCAAATTTTTCTTCCCCTCTTCTTTTGCATTGTTCTCAAAAATAAAAGTGACTAAGTATCAAGTGTGATTAGCACCTCTCTTTTGCGTTCGCAGAGTTCTGTAATTTGAAGTGTCGTTATCACAGAACAGGTTTTTTGGTTCTATCCTAGGAGGAAATAAGCTGAAACCTTTGGCAACATTGTGGCGATTAAATTTCTTATGGACAGTGTTATCTGTGGGCTCAGGATTAATTTAAGTTACAGTTTAATTACAGATTTTGCTAATTAAAAATGATTAAGAATATAGGAAGCTAACAGTATTAACCCTCTAAATTTATTGTGCTCCCACCATACACTATTAAGAGGATTCATCATAATTATTTATACATTAGCTCTCAACCTATTGCAACTTTTCTCCATTGTTTGAAAGAAAATGGAAAATTGGAAGCAAAAAGAAACCATTTTCTCTCAAGTTCTCTATCACTTAATTTTGATTGTTAGAATGGTGTTCAATGATTGTTACAATGGTGTACAATTGAGGCATCGCGGGAACAGAAACAGAGAGTGCATGCTCCTCTACCCTTCTATAGTATCAATTATCAGACTAACAAGTTCAATAAGTTTTCAATAACCCTGCCAAATGTTGAAACATTATATGTTTAATATTGGAGAAAATGGATCCAGTAAAGGTAAACTGTTGCAGTTTGTGTAAAGTTACTATGAAATTGCCTTCTCTGTGTAATTTTCTTACAGCTAAACATTGTTTACTGTCAACCTACACTAAAATACTGTGACATGAAAACATAAAGGTAAGAATTAAAAAAAAATAGATTTAGTGGTTAAAAACATATCTAAAGTATCCGATTTTTGGAGTTTCATACCTGAACTGCCATGTATACGAATTTCCTACTTAAACTATCACCAACTATTTATCAAAACACAATTATCAATCATTCATTTTTCCTACCTAAAATTTCACTAATGCATCTGCTAATTAACTTGAGGAGGAACTTGATTTTTACCTGGTAACGCATAAGGAGATCAGCACTGTGTTTTTGCTCCAAACGATGTTTGGTGAAGTGTTCACGAAACTTTTCGATCTCCGCCCGATCTTCTGGAGATCCAAGGTCTGGTTCAAACTCCCATACTTCCCTACCTACATGATTGTTCGTTGTCCGCAGCCATGGACTCCCTCCTTCTGCTACTTTCAACTTCCACATTCTTCTACAGATTCAGTCCACTTACTACAAAAATGACAATTAGAAATTGTTAAAAAAATTGCATTTTGAATTACATTGTAAAAATACAAATCAAGGACTTACCAGCCCCACAAACTACTGACAGCGACGGCAAAATGAAAAAAAAAAATTCAGAAATTGGTAGGTGAAAAAAAAAAAGAGCAAAAAATAAGCAGATGCTGAAAATTTGGGGTAAAAAACCAGAATTTAATTGAAAAAAATTTAACAAAATAAGGGAAATATGTATGGATGCCAGAAGATAGACCAAAAAAAAAACAATTCGAATGAGGAAAAAGTTCAAGCAAATGTGGGAAAAAATGAGATTAATATGCAGAAATTCAAATATTTAACCAAAAAAATACAGAAATCAATGAAAGAATAGATCAAAACAAAGAACTAGAATGTACAAATTAAGAGTGAATACAAGAAAATGAATGATGAATTAGAAGCAACACCTGTAGTAATCCTAATCAAGAGCTGAGAGATGGAGAGTTTTGAGTATGAAATTTCAAATACTTGTATTAATGCGAGAGATTTTATTCAGAGAGAATCTAAATTAATGGGACCTTATGATAGATATTTTTAATAATTATGTTAGTAATTTTAACTAATTTATTAATTTTTTTCTTATTAAATACCGATTAAAAGAAATCGAAAAATATAAAATAGAGTGATTTTTGTAGTGCGAGGTGTGAGTGAAGCACGTGCAGTTGTAAATGACAAAATCAGTGGAGGAAAAAATTGCGCATAGTAAGTAGGGTGTACACTTGGCATATAAAATTGAATTTTAAAAAACGGACGGCAGCCCACCAGCATGAGAAACACCACGTTTCCATATATATTCAAAAATTGGAAAAGGGTCCCCTATCTGGTTTTTGTAATAATTACTCTACTTTCGAGTAAATAGTTAAATCATAAATGTCCCCCGCCTGGGTATGTTTGGTACAAAGATTAATAATGCAGATAGGGTTGTTCATGGTTATGGTTATACAACCAAATCGAACCGCAATTCGAACCAAATCAATTAGAAAATTTGGCATTTTGTTTGGTTTGGTTAGGTTTGGTTTTAAATTTTGAAAACCGATACTATTTGGTTTAGTTTTAGTTTTACTAAGAAATAACCAAACCAAACAGATAAATTAGATATATAAATTTTATAATTATTTATATATTATTCATAAATAAAATATAAATATTTTGTTAAATTTTAATTAACTTAAGTCTTTTAACTTTACCATTTTCTCAAACTCAACACTTAAATTTTAGCCTAACTATTACAATTCTAGGTCCAAGTCCATCAAAATTATTTACTTTAGTCTTTACCTACCCTACCTCACATAAGATAGTCACATTTTCTCTTAATTGAATCACTCTGTTCGTGTAATAATAACTCTAGTATTGCTTAATTGAACCGACAATAACTTTCATGTGGGTTGTTCATGTATTAGGTGTTCATGTCTATCGAGATATGTATGTCTTCAAAAAAAATTATTACTTTCAAGCCGAAAAAATCAGAAAAACTGAACCAAACCGACGATTATTTTTTTCGTTTCGTTTAAGAAATTTTAAAAACCGACTAGATTGGTTTGGTTTTGATTTTAACCTATAACCGATCCAAACCGAACCACGAACACCCCTAAATGCAGGAATTAGTAATGTTGAGATTAGTAATGTAGGGATTAATAGTGCAGGGATTCTAATGCAAAATTTATTTTTACCAAGTGTTTGGTCATTGTTTCCCACCTCATTTTGTGTTTGGATTAAAACTTTATAAAAAACTTATTTCCAATTATACCCTTGAATTATTACGTAATTAGGTTAAGGTAAATAATTGCCAGACAATATTATTTTTTTATAGCCTTCTAACTAGATATATGAGAAGAACAATTTTGTTGTCATGTTTGCCTTTTTTCACTTAAATTATTTGAGAATAAATAATTGTCATCTTAGCTAATTGATCACTTACAAAATATCAAATTTCAATTTTAAAAAAAGATAAACTATCAACTTTTAAAATAGAAAAGACGGTAAATAATAGTAAAATTGAATAAATCATCTATAAATTGTTCAAAATACAAATAATTAGAAAACCACACACACTCTCTAAATGCTTAACTAGTAAAGTTAGTGTATTTCATTTTCTTTGTAAGAATGAGCATAAAAAACTATTATTAAAATTTTATTTTTAATTATTTTATTTTTCTTATTTGTTTTCTTATTTCTCTGTAGCAATATAAACCAAATTTCTTCATCATTCACCATTTCTAAGTTGTCGTTGCCATCACCATCTCCACCGGATTCACCATTGTTAATTCCAAATAAATTTTCAAACTCAAGTAAAACTCTTGCAAAATCAATCAACCTAAATCAATTGTAGATAAATTTACAAATATTTATATCACCCCAAAAGGCTTAGGGTCAGATTTGAGAAAAATAAATCTGAGCTTAATTACTTAAAATCCAATTGAACCCATAAAATATTTTTTTTTACTAATAAATCCTTTAATTATCAATCTCAATCAATCAATTACTTCTCAGAAATTGTCGCTATCAGTCTCGTTAATTCTTCAATAGTCGGTGAATCAGTCTTTTTTTCTTCAAAATTGTCGTTGTTGTCGTAGATGATGATGTAGAAGACATTATAGGCTCCTCATCTTCCTTGAGAGGATTGCTGACTCTAGTAACCTCCATTAATCGCAATACACTGCCCTGTTTGTCCTCTCTCTCCCTCCCCCCCCCCTCCTTTTCTTCACTTTTTTAGTTTACTTTTTTAGGGTTTTTGAAGAGCAAAGCTCAAATATCTCTGAACGAGCTCTGCAATCGCTATTCACCTTTTTTCATCAAAAATCCAATTTTGATGAATTTATGGTGTTTTAGTGATGGTGAAAAGAGTGAAAGTATTTAGGGTGTTTGAAGGGATGGGTGAGAATATAGAAAAAAAATGGTAAAGAAGTATAAAAATTGAAGAAAAAAATTGATGAATTTTTCACAAGTCAAATGCGTGAAATTCACAAGCCAGCATAGATTTGGGTAAGACTTTTTAAAGGTATAATTATTTCATTTTTAAACAGTTCAGAGAGGGTGATAGAACTCCCATGAAGTTTAAGTGTGTAGTTGAAAATTCGAAAATATATTAGGAGGGCTTTTGGCTGTTTTCCCTACTTTCTACCTTCAATTTTTACCTGTTTATTTATTGTATTAAAAATAGAGTATGATTGTAACAACCTGTTCCCATCGTTTTAGAAAAGCCAGCGGGAAAATTTTTTCATAGTAACTTGGAATTTCCCAACCTAATCCAATTTTGGACGAAATCAGAGTCAATAAGGTCTAGGGAAATCTGGTAACAATTGAGTGATCTAATTATCATTCTGATCACATGAGTAGATAGCTAAGACATTAAGGAACCTGTACGACTTTACAAAATTGAATTAGGGTGAATAGAACTCCCGTAATTGATCTTAGCGTGAACATGTATTTTCTGAGTGTCATGGGATGAAGGTGTGTTGTGAAATGGGGGTTTGAAATTCTTAAAATTACTTATTGTTTTCGTGCAAGCCGCTGTGGCGGGATTATTTCCGCCATGGTGGGGCCGCTGTAGCGGGATGACGTCCGTTGTGGCGGGACAATCACGATTTAAATCGGAAATAAACCCCAAAATCATTTTATTCTGCACTTTTCGACTTTGAGAGCTAGGAGATGACCCCAGTCACGTTCTTGACCGTTTTCACCATTCTTGAGGCTAAAGGTAAGGTTTTAACTCCCCAGATTCGTTTTTCGATCCGTAGAATGAAAATTAATTGGTAATTATCGATGTGAGAGGGTTTTGGTCTGGATTTTATGGTGGAAAAAACCCTAATCTGGGTATGGGGATCAAGAGTTTGACCTAGATTGATATTATTGTTTATAATCCGGATAATTATGTGTTGTTTATTGATCCTCGCATTATTATGATTGTTTGTAGACCAAGAACAAGCAGAAAGAATCCAAAAAGGGAAAAATCAAGTTTCTTAGGGGATTCAAGCTTTGTTCGAGGTAGGTGATGGTTGTGATTTCATGTTGTGTGATATATATGTTTGTTTTTGCTTTATTATAATGCATGTGTGCATGCGAATGTTGCATGGTTGATTTCATTAATCGTAAATGATGATAATTGAATAATTGTATGCCATGAATAATGACTTGATTGTATGATTATGAGAATGTACATCGTGATTGTGATTATGGCTTGTTGAATGGATCAGGTGTTACGTTTCGACATACTAACTGGGATCGGTTGCCACGTAGCGGCATAAACCTTGGAACGGTGTCACGATCCGACACACTAACTTGGAACGGGGTACCACGTAGAGGACACTAACAATTTGGGTGTGGTTCCATGAGAGGATCATTGACTTGATATAATTGTGTAATTTGAGAATTGTGAACTTGATCGTTATTCGTAAATGATATTGATATTGTATATGTTTGGTGTATGCATGTTATTATTATGTTGTAATGACTTATGTATGGTGCACTTAGTGGGATAGCCGCGTGATCCTACCAGTACACGATGGTTGTGTACTGATATTGCACTTACTCTTTCTTTGTTGACTACAGGGCATCTTCCGACGACAATTAACGGACCTCACTTAGAAGATCAGTGATCGTGATCGTCATCAAATTCATGGCTGAGCCAGTTCTTCTAGGCTTCCATGAGTTTTCTTTCGTTTATGTCCCCATTTCGGACTTAGACTAGTACATTAGGATTTCTTATGTTTAATTGGGTTGTACCCATTTTCTTAGACTTGTTGAACTGTAGATGTTTTGGTATATTGACTTTCAGGTTCTATGTATTATTTCGCATTTGTTTTGATTAGACTTTTGTTTGGAGTTTATGGGAATTCCCTATTTTTTTTTCTTAACATTTAAACCTGTTTTCGTAACTTTAAATGCTTTAGTTTTGGTTGAGTTAGTTAGTTTGGGTTGTAGTAATGATTCTCCCACCAGAGGGTTAGTGTGGGTGCCAATCACGACGGTCTGGGTCGTGACAAAGTTAGTATTAGAGCCAAAGTGGGTGGAACTGTAGGTACTGATGCCTTCTTCCGTTCCTTGTTGGGTCTTGTTATGACTGGTAATGAGCATGAGATGTTGACTAAGTTCTTGAAGTTGAAACCGCCTGTGTTCCATAGTTCTGAGAGTGAGGACGCATATGAGTTCATTTTAGATTGCTATGAGAGGCTTTATAAGTTGAGAATTGTCCATCAACATGGAGTTGAGTTTGTGACTTTTCAGCTTCAAGGTGAGGCTAAACAGTGGTAGAGAGCTTATGTGGAATGCAAATCTTCAGCTTTACCCCCACTTACTTGGACCCAGTTTCATGCTCTGTTTTTGGAGAAATATGTGTTTCGGACTTTGAGAGATCGTAAGAAAGATAAGTTCATGACTTTGGAGCAAGGTGGTATGTTTGTGGCTGCTTATGAGGTCAAGTTCCATGCTTTGTCTAGATAT